GCGTTTACCACGATCTTCAGGGGTTGCTGGTACATGAACGGAAGTAAGGGGGCGCGCGAGAAGGTTCGACGGTCCACGAGAGAATAAAATAAAAGAATCCTCGCCACCCTAGAGTCTAGGGTTTCATAACGGCTGTACCGACACGCGCGTACCCCCATGACCACCCCCATCATCCGAGGTTAACCGATACCGGCAATTATCAACGCGTCATGCTCACCAGGATCCTTTTACTCTAATTACGTCATCAACTTTTCACTTTTTTATGGACACCGAGGAAAATTTATCGGTTTTTTCTCTTCTCCGCGGCTGCGGGGATTTATTTTTAAAATGGGGAAAGGTGAAATGTTTTCGAAAATCGAGATCACGAGGTTTTCTGGAAAAATTCATAAGATCTAAATAACCCTTTCACGTAATCTCATTGAAATCACATGATTTTATGTAGAAAATTTGGAAATGGAGGAAAATTTTCCTAGTCATCGGTCCTTTTCCCTAAAATCGAATTTTCCCCAGAAAATTCTTAAAATCTTACTAGTCTTTTATGTAATCTATCCAAGACTAAAGGAATTGATATAAAAACCGCCCAAAGAAAAAACAAATTTTTCCCTTCGAAAATGGAAAATGATTTTTTTCAAAAATTAAACTTTTCCACCAACCGACGATTGATTTCATATACATACAATATATATTCGCGTAAATAACGACAATAAAATCCTTGGAGACGGAAAAAAGATATAATAAAAAGACAAAAAAGAAAAAAACATTTTTTTTTCAACCGTAATCGATAATAATACTGGCAATTCCAAAATTCTCACTGCAAAATCCGTGTGCAATAAATGAATCTAATTTTTTCTGGTGTTCTCAACCAAAGAATCAAACATAAAAAATAAAAATATTCATTCTCATTTGTTTATGCAACTCATGACCTGACCCGTAACACGTAATAGTCAATTACGCTTCACCAAAGATCAATTACCAGCGTAAACATTCTCCTCATACGAGATGTGTACGCATGTACAAGGGCTACAGTTGAGTGCATGCGTTCCACATTATCGAGTGGAGCAATAAACCCGAGAGTAAACCCTAATTACGTAATCTAGAGGGATTTTTCTTCAATTAAATTCATGTAAAGTTTAATGCTCTACATGAATGATGATAAATTATTGCAGGAAATTCCCTCGCAATCCGCCATTGCTTTACATTAAAATCAGAGCAATTAAAACATTAATTATCCAATCCCCAAAATCAATGTACAAATTAAATGAGCGGAAATTTTTATTATTTGCTTTCTTCCCGCTTCCACCGCACGAGAAAAATTTATTTAAAAAATTATTCTAATGAATCGTAATTGTGGACCAAGTGGAGGTTCATGAATTTTCATTAGAAATTGCGGGAGCAAATGGAATTTGTTGTTCAGGGAAAATTATCTTGTGCACAATTTTTACTGAAGATTATGGAAATTCGAGTGAGATCTCCTGGTGGAAAATTTTGAACTTCCATTTAGGTGGGAATACTGTGTGTTAGGGTAATTTTTTAAATAAATTCCTCTCTGTACTTTCACGGAGGACCGAGGAAAAACCTTAAGTGAGGAAAAACTTTGGTGAGGTCTGGGCAATGAAACTCTGTGAATTAGAGCGGTGAAAAAACTTTTGGTCTCATGCCATCCCATCACTCTAATGTTACCAACAACCGTCGGTAGAAAAAGAGGAATTATTTCCGTCGATTGTTTAAATTACAGGTTTTCCCATTTTTTTTATTAAAAGGAAAAAATAAAAACGCTCAATTACCTTTTGAAAATTATTGAAACTTTCAGGGACTTCGCGTAAAAAATATCATTATGAGAAACTATTTTTCCTCGCAAGATCCGATAAACGGCGATTCAACTCTCTCTTCTACTTTCCAACGAATTTATGTCTCGTTCCACCGATTAATAATTCAAAGAATCAGAGAACTTGGATTTATAACAATAATCATAATTCATAATCACATAATCATAAAAAATGAAATGAAAATAATAATTTCATTTTCACTCGTAGCGTAGTATACCATTCTAAAAAAATACTTCAATCAAGTATATACATTACACTTGAAATAAATCTATGAAAACATTTTATCCTTCATTCAAAAATATTTAACATTGTTATTAAAACCGTTGAATCAAGTTTTTTATTGATATCCATCGAAAATCGAATATTCTAAACTGAATAAAAATAAAATCTACTCAAACAAAAAATAAAGTGATATATTATTAACTAATAAAGTAATTAAGTCTTTTAGTCTTTAGTCATTCAGTACTTAAGTAATTAAGTAAATCTAATATAATTGATTAAAGTATTTATTTTTCCGTAGTATGTCATGACTTCTGAATTGAAATTTTGAAAATTGAAATGATCACCCTAGATTTTAAGACGCAGAAACATCGGTAGGACGAGTACATGATAGTACAAGATAGTGAGTTGAGATGTTGAAACTGGGGGTATGAAATAGGTGGGGTGAGGGGTTGTAGCTGTAGGTTGTAGCTGGGGAAGATCCGGGATCCCAGAGGGTAGTTCCGTGGGGCGGGCTCGGTTGTCATGGATACCCGACTGGCTAACCCCCGTAACCACTCCTCCCCTGTCTCTCTCTTCTCGTATCATCCCTCTGGGCAAAACGGCCGCCATCATCGAACCACCATCTTGCCATAATCGCCACGGAGGCTGCACCAAAATTCACCGATATCTACATGACAACCGAGTGTATTACGCTTATCCGATTATTGTTATAGCACCTGAAGATAGATCGAGATAATGTTACATACTGAATATGTAACGTGGAATATGTATATATAATGTGACGGTTATATCGAGGCATGAACTATATCTCTCGTCATTAACTGATTATTGGCAAGGCAATAATCCGCTTTCAAATTTATCGGTTATTTGATTAATTCAGGTGATAAGAGTTCAATATTTATATGGAGGGAAATATGCACGAAAAATTACTGGTCTTGTATTAGTAAACGCGGGATATGGCACTGCCCTGATTAAAAATCATGTATAATTCATGAAAAATCATTGCAGTTCTCCGGAATATTTACTGCGCAGGGCAACAAAATTTACGGGACTGATCCTCAATTTTTTCCGGAGTTCATTCGATGTTCTAAAATTTACTGCTAAAAATCTGAAATATTCGTACTAGTCATTCACTTTTTACTGTGGATTTTTTTACTGGATTAATTACCAGGATTTTTAATATTTCCGTTTATTTATGTCGTCATGTAGATTGGACAATCGATTTGTCATTGAATTTTTAAAGAAATTGACTGATTAATTGACAGCGATTTTTTGACAGGAATTTCAGATCCTTTTTGATTATTTTTACGCGAATTCCGGAAGAGTCATGCGGGGAAAGGAATTTTCATCGAATAAATATTCTTTTTTCTTCATATTTTACTCTACTATTATCTCCTACGTCATTTTATACTGAATTGACAAAATAATACAAAATAATCCGTAAAATGAAACCCAAATGTCTCCATCGCAATTTATAATAATTTATAACTTGATTCCTTAATTAAAAAAATTCACGTGACGTTTTGCGATGATACCTTTATCAGAGAAATTCAAGATGATATAGTACATATAATAT